TCCAAATATTTCAGTAATTGCAGGGACTGTGAATATTAAACTCTACTACTAAAAGACATTAAGTTGCGTTTTTAAAAAGATCATCTATAATCTGCTTACAAGAGGCATAATTAAAAGGAAATTGAGAAAGTTTGAAAATAAAAGAAGGAAAAAGCATATACCAGAACAATAGTGACTAAATGAAAGCTGGTATGAGATAAAAATAATATAATTTATAATGGCACCAGGAGACATGAAGTATTTATGTAAAAATCAAGCAAAATATGGATAAGATTTGTATGCTGAGAACTACAAACCACTGCTGAAAGAAATTTTTAAAATTAAATAAATGGAGAAATAGTGTCCATGCATTGGAAGACTCAATATTGTTAAGATGTAAATTCTTCCCAAATTGATATTTATATTCAATACAGTGACAAATTCCCAGCAGAAATTTTTATAGAATTGACAAGGTGATTCTAAAACCTATATTTAAAGGCAAAGGAACTAGAATAAAGTGAAATAAACAAAAAAAGACAAATATTGTATATGATTCCACTTACATGAGGTACTTAGATAGTCAATTTCATAGAAACAGAAAGTCTGGTAGTGGTTACCGGGGCGGGTGGGGTGGGGGAGAATGAGTTGTTCAGTGGGTACAGAGTTTCAGTTTGGGACGATGAAAAAGTTCTGGAGATGGATGGTGTCGATTACACAACAGTGTGAATGTACTTAATACTACTGAACTGTACAATTAAAAATAGCTAAAACGGTTAGTTTTATTATGTATATTTTATAATAATAAGAAATTTTGTAAGGAATTGGAATAGCCAAAACAGTTTAGGAAAAAATTGAAATTAGAGAACTCACACTATGTGATTTCAAGCCTTACTGTAAAGTTAGAATAATCAATATAGTGTGGTAAATATAGATGCATAGATCAATAGAACAGAATAGAGAATCCAGAAATAGAAACATACATGGTCAATTAATTTTTGACAAAGGTACAAAAGTATGGAGAATGGATAAAATTTTCAAACAAATTGTGCTGGAATAATTGGATATCCATATATAAAATAATCTCTATCAATATCTCACATCATATGCAAAGTTAGTTAAAAATTTGTCCTAGTGGGGGCCAGCTCAGTGGCATAGTGATTAAGTTAGTGTGCTCTGCTTCAGTGGCCCAGGGTTCGCAGGTTCAGATCCCGGGCACGGACCTACACACCGCTCCTCAAGCCATGCTGTGGCAGCATCCCACATACAAAATAGAGGAGGATGGGCACAGATGTTAGTTCAAGGCAAATCTTCCTCAGCAAAAAGAGGGAGATTGGCAATGGACGTTAGTTCAGGCTCGATCTTCCTCACCAAAAAAAAAAAACTTTGAGGGCTGGCCCAGTGGTGCAGTAGTTAAGTTCACATGCTCTGCTTTGGCAGCCTGGGGTTCGCAGGTTCAGATCCTGGGCACAGACCTATGCACTGCTTATCAAGCCATGCTGTGGCAAGCGTCCCACATACAAAATAGGGGAAGATGGGCACAGATGTTAGCTCAGGGCCAATCTTCCTCAGGAAAAAGAGGAGGATTGGCAACAGAGGTTAGCTCAGGGCTAACCTTCTCCACCAAAAAAAAAAAAAAAAAGTCATAGACCTAAATGTGTATTCTAAAACTATAAAAATTCTAGAAGAAAACATGGGAGAAAATATGTCCTTGGTTTATGCAAAGATCTCATATAAAATATCAAAGCATGATCATAAAAGAGGAAATTGATAAATTGAACTTCTTGAAAATGAAAAACTTGTTCTTTAAAAGACACAGTTAAAGAAATGGAAAACCACAAATTGAGTGAAAATATTTGGAAATTACATACCAACAAAGATTTATATCCAGAATATATAAAGAACCCTAAAACATCAATAATAAGAAATAGTGGGTAGAAAAAAATTAAACATTTTACCAGAGATATGGATAGCAAAAAGCACAAGGAAAAATGTTGGACATCATTAGTCATTAGAACAATACAAATTAAAACCACAATAAGATACCATTATACACCTATTAGAATGGGAAAAAAAACTGACAAACATCAACACTGGCAAGAATGCGCTGCAATCACAAAGCTCATATATTGCTTATGGGAATGCAAAGTGGTACAGATACAGCCACCCTGGAAAACTGAACAGTTTGGCAGTTTCTTGTTTCCAATAAGGTTAGCCATAAACCTACCACACAAGCCAGCAATCCCATTCCTAGGCATTTGCCCAAGAGAAATAAAAATTATGTTTACACAGAAAACTGTATATAGAAGTATATAGTGGCTTTTTTCATAATCATCAAAAATAACTCAAATGTCTTTCAACTGATGGATGGATAAACAAACTGTGTTACATTTATCCAGTGGAATACTGCTCATCAATAAAAAGAAACTACTGATACACACAACAGCATAGATGAATGTCAAATACATAATTCTAGTGAAAGAAGCCAGTCTGAAAAGGCTACATACTGTATGACTCCATTTATATGAACTTCTGGAAAAGGCAAAATTATGGGGACAGAAAGCAGTGGTTGCCAAGGAATGGGAGTGTGGGGTAGGGGAGTGAGTACAGAGGGTCATTTTTTATGATCTCTAGAACTGTTCTATATCTTGATTGTGTTGGTGGTTGCACAACTGTGTAAGTTTGTGAAAACTCACAGAAATGTTCACTAAAAAGATTAAATTTTATTATTTGTAAATTATACCTCAACATACCTCACAAAAAAAAACTAAACAAATAGGCATATTCTTTTGTCTTCAAGCATTGTAAAATGACTTGTTGTTTGCAGAGGTTGGTAATTCATTTTATTAAAATCATAGAATATTACAGGTGGAAGGAGACTTAGGTCATCTCATGTCAATTCCCCCATTTTTCAAATAAGGAAACTCACAGCCAGAGGAGGAAATGACGCATGACACGGAATTTTAGCTTATCTGATTATGTAAATTAGCGACTTCAGAGGCTAGAATTAGCATTTGTTTTTGTTGTTGTTTTTTTCCTGATTTAGCAAAAGAGAGTCCAGAAAATTTCTGGCGTTTGTTCACTGGAACCCAGAAATTTAGCAGCAGATTTTCAGATTAGAATTTATGATCTTGAAACTTCACTTTGGTTAACTGTAGGACATAAAATTCCTAATGGAATTGTTAGCTAAAAATTGGCTTATTGTCCATACATGATGGATTTTATAATATTTCTATTGTTGATTGGATTTCATAAACCATGCTTTACAAATGGATCCTGTGAGAGGCTGTAAAACAATTGTTATCAACTTTTTAGACTTTGAGCCTTTTCTTCCAGCCAAACTCCACACATATAAGAGAGACTCAGGAGGGCTCCTCTGCCTGCGGTGGGGGTTGGCCCGAGCCCAGCAGCATGAGGGGCTTCCATTAAGCACAGTGCGAAAACCACCACTCCCAAAACTAAGTTTGGGAAGAGAACCATAGGGTGGCTCACAGATAGATAACCGTGCAGAGTAATCACACAGTGCATTTGGTTCTTGTTAATAATGGGGCTTGCCAACCAGCAGAGACCTTGAAAAGAGAAGTCTATGGCATCAGTTCCGAGTAACATATCCCTGTCCTGGAAATCACCTGTCACTGTCCCTTAATGTCTTTGTGTCATTCTCCCGACCATTCTGCTCTCCCTTTCTTTTATCCACCTCTACCCTGGGGAAAGAGAGGAGATCAAGATTCAATCTGTTGAATTTAGGTGCTTCCAAGACATTGAAAGGTGTAGGACAGCTAGGCAATTGTATATATGGGTATGGTGCTTAGAAGAGAGAATCTAAACTGTAAATAAAAGTGGGTGAGTCTTCCACACTGAGATGGTAATGGAAGCAGAGGGTGTGGTCGGAGGGAGAGTGCAGGAAAGGGCCTTGGGCTGAGCTTGAGGAAGCCAGCAGTCAAAGGCTGGCTAGAGAAGGATGATGTGTAACAAGGCCAAGAAAGTGTTTCCTGAAGCAGGAGGAAAGCTAGGGGAGCAGGGTATCATGGAAACCAAATGAGGATCATGTTTCAAGGAGAAAGAGGTCGAGTGTTGAATGTTGCTGAGAATGCGAAGGGAATGAACTTTTAAACTGTCCACAAGATTTAATAGAATGATGGTCATTGGTGATCTCCAGAATTAAGTCTTCTATGCGTTCCGGTGATTCTTCACGACTGAGAACACCTTGAGAGCGGGAACCTTGAATAGAGCTCCACATCCTCCTATATTGCTTTTCTCTTAAGAAACGCCCAATAAATATTTGCTGTATTGTGACTGCACGTGGTACACTGGAAGCCTTAAAAAGATGTTTTGGGGGTGATGGTGATGGAACTGTTCCGTATCCTGATTGTGGTGGTGGTTACGTATGTTAAAACTCATAGAACTGTACACCTCAAAAGAGTCCATTTTATTGCATCTTAATTTAAAAAATTTGAATAGTAATGGTAAGATTCTTTCTCTTACATGGTGGTGGGCTCTTGGGTGTTTATTGTAAAGTGATTCTTTTTGTGTGTGTGTGTGTGTGGGGAAGATCAGCCCTGAGCTAACATCCAATGCCGATCCTCCTCTTTTTGCTGAGGAGGATTGGCCCTGGGCTAACATCCATGCCCATCTTCCTCTACTTTATATGGAATGCCACCACAGCATGGCTTGACAAGCGGTGTGTCAGTGCACACCCAGGATCCGAACGTGTGAACCCCGGGCCACAGGCTGCTGAAGCAGAGCACACGCACCTAACCACTACGCCACCAGGCTGGCCCCTGTAAAGTGATTCTTTAAATCTTATATGTATTTCCTAAATAGTCCATTGTATTTACACAAGACAATAAGATACTAAATATTCAAACATAAAAACAACTAAAGTTTTAAAGAAAGGATTTGAGAGAAATACAGAAAAGTACCAATAGAAAATCTATGTAATTTTTGCATATGTAATTTTTAAGTTGAAATGAAATGAAAAAGAAAGCAATAACAAAAGCCCTATTGTCTTATCTTTTTAACAGACAGGAATGGGTCACTTGCGTGTGATGAAAGATGGACTTCGCCTGGAAGGGGAATCAGAATTTTTATTCCCATTGTATGTCAAAGAAATACACTCCAGAGTGGTAAGAAAATGAAGAAATATTTAAATAATTTGTGTTTTATGAAAAATAAATAATGGTTAAACACAGAAATTCAATATATTTCAGAGAAGAGTTCTTAGAATGTATTCATGTGCACACATTTATGATACACTCTTTATAAAAAGCTTGGCTGTAATGTTGTGGAAATTATTTCTGATATTATCTTCTAAAGAGTCCACTTTTGTGTGCTTCAGATCCAAATTTGGTGGCCTCAGTAATTTAGATCATAGTAAAGGTTTGGTAATTAAAACCTTTATCAAAAACAATCTAAACTTATTTCCATTAGTGCAAGTAATTTAAATACACTTATTTCAAGGCATTTAAAATTATCTGAGAGGCTTAGAAAGAAATTAGTTTCATAGTAGTATGTTCTGCACTAATTATACTAATTACAGATTCTGGTCCTGTAGGATTCTCCCTAAATAGATTAAGCATCACCATTAAATAATTGTGTGACTTTAAAAGAATATCTACCTCAATATTATCAATTCATTTACCTCCATGGAATTTACAATAAGTAGAGCCAATCATAAAATATAGACAAATAATCTTTGTAATATGTTTTATTTTTCCTTATGTGATGCTATGGACTTTGTAGTAGAGATGAACATTTTGCGAGATTACTGATTAGCTGGTATTATCTAAATAAAATGTTAAACTTCATCCACTATAACTTACCAATCGCGTGAAGAGTACATTCTTCACTTTCCTCCCATATTTCTAGACATGAAAGGATATGTCAGTTTCTCCTAGGTGCAGAGGCTGTACCAGCTACTCCAGGGCAATTAGAAAGGAAACAAAAGGCTGGGCACTGAGAAACACACAGTCCTATGAGAGAGAGAGCACACTCCTAAATCAGACAGCAGAACAATCACCAGGCTCTACCACTAACCGCAAATTGATGCAGACAGAAAACTTCCACACAGATATTGACTGCAAAGGAGAGATCCTAGAGAGTGCAAAGCACATAAGTAGTTAACAAGCACTCTTGAGTTACTTCTCTAATATCTCAGTTGACAATATGAGCAGGCAAATGACCTGGACTATCACAGGCTGATACGTCTGAGCCTGATTCTGTGAGCTTATGCAGATAATACACTTACGTTAACCATGATGGCATTTCAGTGTACTAAATACCGTGTCATATGGGAATATAGGAAATGAACACAAGCTTTCGTAGAAAGGGAAGTCAGATGTGAACAAAGAATCCAAATATTAGAACTTAGCCTTTTTTTCCCCAGAGTCATATTAGCTGATCCTATACCATGTTCCTGAAGAGATAAGACTGTAGAATAACCTGGGTACTGAAATCGGGTGATTAGATCATAACAAATTTAATGTTCTTGAATTCATAATACTTTTAGTTATACCTTATCAGATTTTTCATCTTCAGTATACATTTTTTTTAAAAAAACAGTGAGCAAAATTATGTAAATTATTTTAAATAATCACATATTAAAGTCTGACAATGATGCATTAATGTGATGTGTCAATCAACACACAAAATTAAAGAAACATTTGGAATAATATTACATGATAACAGAGCTGTAAAGTATTTTGAAACTAATATGGCTTTCTAATAATAGGATTACCTGAACAAAAGTATATTTGTAATTTCTGTATGCACTGATGTATTAGTTATGTTTCTTTTTCAAAGATGAGTCTAGGAAGTAATTTTCCATAAAATTACAGAAATTACCTTATGAATTTGCAAAATTTGACACATAATTCATTTATTTATATTACTGGGATGAGAGAATTTCTTCATTATAAACATAAATGGACAGGGTACTCTGGCCTCTAACATATGATTCCTCGGCAGCCCTTCAAAATTAATACATGAGGTCCTGTCAAGATCGTGCTTGGGGTTTGTGATTTAAACCCATCTACCCTGCCCATTAACCCAAACACATACCAATATATCTGAAAGAACAAAAAGGTTGTATTTAAAAATATATACACATGGTCAAAAATGAAATAAAACAGAAACACACAGTGATAAAACTTTACTTGAAATGATTGTCTTTGAAGTTCACAACCCTGAAAAGAGGCAGGGGCAATTTACAGTCAAAGCTCACAGAGGAACAGAGACTAAAATGGTGTCTACGTGACTGGGACTCCAGCCAGGCCCATCGCATGAGGCAGCAATCAAGGGCAGAAAATAGTTGCAACTATGCCCAAACTTGAATAAAGCTGCATATCTGTGGGGAGAAGCCCCCAAAGATGCCAGACAGAACCCAAATATCACTGAGGACAGTAGCCCTGGGTCACCGTCATAAGACTGAGAGACACTGGGGTCTGAAATGGAAACAATGGTAAAGCCTTTAGACAGGCTGGGTAAGCTCAGAAATTAAAATGCATCCATACAGGGAGCTTGAGACTGAACTTCAAAACACATAAGGAAAACTTCATCTAAAAAAAGGATACCAAATAAAATCTACACAAAAGAGAATTAACTTCCAACTAAGTAAAATTAATCTGAAAATGACTGGGAAAGCACACTTAAGTATCTCAAAGAGATAAAGCTATTTTTGAGTAGTTTTCATTAAAAGAACAAGAAATTATAAAATCAAAACAGACAATATAGGGCAGAAATAACAGGGAACAGATTTACCCTCTCTCATTAGACAACTAAAAAACTTGAAAAAATATATGAAACAATGGTTTTTGCTATGGTCTGAATGTTTGTATGTTGAAATCCTAACCCCCAAGTGATGGTATTAGGAGGTGATTGGGGGGGTGATTAGGTCATGAGGGTGGAGCCTTTACGAATGAGATTAGAGCCCTTACAAAAGAGGCCTGAGAGAGTTCCCTTGCCCCTTCCACCATGTGAGATTACAGCCGGAAGGTGCCCTCTATGAACCAGAAAATGAGTCTCGCCAGACACCGAATCTGCCAGCACCATGGTCTTGGACTTCCCAGCCTCCAGAACTGTGAGAAATAAGTATTTGTTGTTCATAAGCCACCCAGTCTCTGGGATTTTGTTATAGCAGCCCAAATGTTCTAGGATGGGTTTCAAATATTAGACAATGGCAGTCAGGGCAGTCATCTCGAAGAGAGGGCATCAAAAGAGGTGAGCCCTAGGATTGCCCCAGGTTACTGCCTGGGGAGAGTTTCTAAGGCCACAGGGAGGGAGGGGGGCCAGTGAAGAGGCAGGTATTCTCCCTGAGTTGAGGAGATAGGGGTGGGAGTCCAGGGAAAACCAGCCACCCTCAAGTTCACAGGGCAGAGTACCATAGATGAGGGAGCTGCCATACGCTGACAGAGCTCCAGAGGTTGCAGAGTTCACTCTCCCTTCACCACTCACTGCACCGAGTCTGTAGGTAAGTACTTATCAGTGCTTGTGTGTGAGAGGAAGCTACCTGAGACTGAGGAAGTAACTACTCGACGGAAGCAGAAGGAACAATCCCTGGAGTTCACACAAGTTTGGCAACAGCTCATATTCCCACCAGCCAGAGTGGGAAAACTTCATAAGTCATGGGGCATCAGGTAGAAATGCTCAAAGGGTGTTGGCTCAGCAGTGGCACAAGGTCTGCACTAGAATTAATACTGGTCTGGTCTCATCTAACAAAGTTTAATAGGAAGCCTTGGAAGTATCATACTTTTTCCACGTGACTTACTGTGTCCCAGAGCAAAACTCAAGAAAACTATGTTCCGTCTGGGCACAAAGGTCAAGGAAAGCATGAACATGTTAAGGAGAGACATGAAAGTGGGAAAGACAGAAAAACCCAAATTAATCTAGAGATGGAAAATTGAACACATGGAATTTAAAACAAAGTTAATTCATGGAATTAACAGATTAACAGCAGACTGGACACTACAGAAGAAAAGATTAGTGAACTTGAAGATATAGCAATAGATCCTAACCAAAATGAAACCTAGAGAAAAAAGACTGGAAAAAATTAACAGAGTATCAGTGAACTGAGGGCCAGTGTCAAGGTGTCTTAAATGTGTGTGATTGGAATCCCCAAAGTAGAGTAGAGAAAAGAGAGGACAAATATTATTTGAAAAAAAAAATGTGTAATTTTTTTCCAAATGTGATGAAAACTTTCAACCCACAGATCAAACATGCTTACTGAACCCCAAACAAAAGAAACAAGAAGAAAACTACATCAAGGCATATCATAATTAATTTGCTTAAAACTAGAATAAAGAGAAAACCTTCCAAGCAGCCAGAGTAAAAGGACATATTACATACAAAAGAACAGAGAAAAGGATGATAGCAGACTTCTAGTCAGGAACAATTCAAGTCAGAAGACAGCAAAGCAGCGACTTTAAAGTACTATAACAAAAACCAAAAGCAGCCAACCTAGAATTCTATACCTAGCAAAAATATGTTTCAAAAACAAAGCCAGAATGAAATCTTTTTTTCAGACTCACTAAAGTTGAAAAAAATGTACTTCAGTAGATTGGCACTACAAGATATATTAACAGAAGTCTTTCGTACAAAGAGAATATGATACCAGATGGAAATCTGGATCTTCACAAAAGAATAAATACTAGAAATATGTGGGTAAACAGAAAATAATAATTTTTTAATTTTAAACATTTTAGAAGATACTTGAATACCAAAGTGGAAATAATAACAATGTATTTTGAGGTTTACCACAAGGATAGAAGTAAAATGTATGACCAGAATGAAACAAAAACCATGAGAGAGAAAAATGGAAGTACTGTTATAATGTTCTTATATCATACATGAAGTGGTGTGAAATTACTTGAAGACAGACCATGATAAGTTAAAGATGTATAGTATAAATTCTAAAGTAAACACACACACACAAAGTATAGTTAATATGTCAACCAAGGAGATAAAATGAAATCATAAATAATACTCAATTAATCCAAAAGAAAGAAGACAGAGGAAACAAAGAGCAAATGGGATAAATAGAAAACAAATAGCAAATTGGTAGATTTAAACTAAGCCACATCAATAATCATATTAAATACAAATGGTCTAAACACTCCAATTGAAAGGCAGAGATTGTCATATTGAATGAGAAAGCAAGACCAACTATGTGCCAGCCACCTACACAAAAACTCACCTTAATTATAAAGACACAAATAGGTTAAAAGTAAAAGAGTAAAAAGAGATATACGATACTAACACTCATCAAAAGAAAGTTGGAGTGGCTATATTAATAACAGACAAAATAGATTTCAGAGCAAAGAGATAAAAATCTCAAAGATACAGAGGGTCATTTCAAATGATACAGGAGTAAATTCATCGATATTTATGTAGTCAAACACTTACATACCTAATATCTGAGCTTCAAGATACATAAAGCAAAAACTGAAAGAACTGCAAAAAAGAAAAATAGAAAAATCCACATTTATAGTCAGAGATTTCAAAATCCCTCTTTCAATAGGTGATAGAACAAATAGAAAATCAATAAGGATATAGAAGATTTGAACAACACTATCAGCCTACTTATTCTAATTAACGTTTACAGAACACTCCCCCCAACAAGAGTAGAATACAAGTTATTTTCAAATGCACAAGGAGTATTTACCAAGATCATATTTTGGACTATAAAACAAATCTCAACAAATTTAAAAACATTCAAATCATACAGCATATGTTATCTAACCACAATGAATTTAATAAGAAAACAGTAACAAAAATATATGAAAATTTTCCAAATATTTGGAAATTAAATAAAACATTTATACATAATCCATAGGTCAAAGAAGAATTTGAAAGGTAAGGCAGTATTTTGAACTGAATAAAAATGAAAAAAAACAGTATGTCAAATTTGGGGGGGGTGTAGTTAAAGCATTGCTTAGAGGGAAACTTATAGTACTAACTGCCTATATTAGAAAACAAGAAAATCAATGACCTCAGCATACTCACTGAGAAACTAGAAAAAGAAGAACAAATTAAACCAAAAGTAAGAGAAGAAATGAAAGAACAAGCAGCAGAAATCAACAAAATAGAAATCCTAAAAACAATAGACAAAATCAGTGAAACCAAAAGCTGGTTTTTTAATAAGATCTATAAAAATTCATCAACCTCTAACCAGACTAATCATTAAAAAGACAGGGCACAAATGACCAATATCAGAAATAGTAGAGGGGACATCACTAAGGATCCTACCAACATTCAAAGAATAATAAAAAAGTATTACGAATAACTTTCTGCAGATAAATATAATTTTTCTACATGCTGTTTAGCAGAATTCTTAACATACACATGCTGCTTCAATAACTAAATCAGTCTCTGCCATTCCCATATTAGGTGCAAATGTAAAGTAGTTAATTATGTACGTACATGAAGTGGCCACAGGGGATTATTGAGAACTCCTAGGGCAGTTGTGATCTATATTTGGGCCCTACCAACACATCTTTACATTGTTAATGGTCTTTTTATGCATCTCTCTCATAGCTCTTTGTCTAGGTCACACACTCTGGAGAAAAGATATCATGTCCTGTGGCTCTTTTATCTACTTCCTCAGGCTCAATATAATGTTGAAAGATGCATTGTTTTTATCCAATAAATATAGTCAGAATTCAATTCAGATGAAAAACGGAAAATTAAATGTTCTCTTTCTACCTCACTGACATTCTATAAATGACATAAAATTTTTCTAAAGGATATCACTAGCTAATTATGAAAACTGAAATACTCATTATTCACAAGCTGTAAATCTCAGCTGCCTCATGTAGAAAATGGAAATAATGCCCCTCTACTTCACCATAAACATTGCAGGTTTTTTTTAATGTAGCTGTTTATTGTTTTAAGGTTTTGTTTTATGAAAAATGTAGATTAGAAAGAGTGTGCAATTCAATATAAGAGCTTTTGTTAAGTAATACAGGGAATGTTTATATCATTTTGTTAATATTGTTACAGGGCAATTTCTGCTTTATACTGTGAGTAACAGAAAATTGACCTTAGTAGTGGCACAACTTAATAGGAACTTTTATTCTCACATAACAAGAAGCCGGAAGGGGCAGCTACAGCATCAGTTCACCAGTCAGCAACATTGGAACCAGTATCTTTGCCATCCTCCTGTCTTTCCCATGCACTAGATGTCTGCTAGGCCACATGCAAGACATGTGACCAGGGAGATGTGCAGTGCCAATGCACGCATCCCTTTCATCAGGAAAGGAAAAGCTTGCCTAGAAACCCTCAGCCCCAGCCCCAGCCAATTTTGGCTTACATCTCATTGACCAGAATTGTGTCACTTGGATCACCCTAGCTGCAAGACAGGCTGAGAAAGCAATTAGCCTTTCCAACCCCTGCAGTGGAAGGCAGAAAAAGAAAAGGGTTTGAGAGTGTGTATTGGACCAGGCAACCAGAGTGGTTCCCAGAATAACTTACTTTGTCTAGGCATGGGAGTGGACCTCACGGCTCTGAGCCCTGCCCTCCTATTCCAGGAGAATGGTAAAAAGAGCATGGGAGTTAGCATCTAAAAACTGGGTTCCATCATGGAACTGTCACTTGTTAGCTGTGACTTTGGGTGAGCTGTAATTTAATCTCTTTGGACTCAATTTCCTCATCTCTGTATTAGGAGTAACGGTACCTACTTTAAAATGTGGAAGATAAAACGAAAGGATGGATGCTAAAATTTTTGGTAAATTGTTAGCTCTTATTGTCATCCTAGTTATTTTATAACATTGCAAAAACAAGTATCATTGGATAAAACGTGAGATGCTGATAGATCCATCTGCTTCCACAAAGCAAGTTGGACAATTTCTGACCTGCTGGAGTTCCAAAGTGTTCCTGAAACTTCTTTCCTTCTGAAAAATCACATTTTTCCCCACAACTTTGGAAGATATTTGGTTCCCTCTGAGTGAACCATAAACCCACCTGACTCCAATAGCCAAATTGCTGCATTCCTTTTCAAGAAAATTGTTGATATAAAAACAAGCAATCTGCTGTAAAACAAAACCATCCGTTCAGAATTATGATACCACAGAAAGCACTTACGTGCTCCTAAAGCCACTTTATCTTTCAACAAAATGCTTAAAAAATATAGGCATCCAACAAATTTTAAATGATATTTTGAAATTGCGAGAAGCCTTTGCATTTTGAAAATAAGTAACGTGGTATTTATTATAGAAGAACTAACCATTCTCTGATTTATCTTCTTAAAATATATCATGTCCTGGACAAAAATAATAAGAAATGAAATTTTAATTCCTTGAAAAGGAAAAACACTAATTAAAACTTGATTGTTTCAGATCTTCACCTTGAGAACTGACTTGGCACATTGTAACCAGTGGATACAAGCACTATAAACCCATGAGATTATTATATTTCATGAAAAAGTTAATACTTTTACCCCTTTAACATAATATAATCCAAGTTTTAAAAATAATTTTAGCCACAAATTTATAGGATCACAGGATCTGTGACTATGAAGAAATTACTTTATATAAATCCTAAATTTCTATATAAATATAAAGATATAGTCATTTTAAATAGTATGTATTTGGCTAATTTTGTAAATCTCTTTCTAGGACTCATCTCTGCTTCTGCAGTCAACTCAGAACGTGACTGTAAACGCACGCAACTCTGAAGAAGAGGTCACAGGCAGATTAAAAGTGGGTGAGTCCACCTTCATCACAGTGCTTTGCACGTGTATGATCCATGAATAGTTGTGATGAATGGATAAATTTGCTTTTTCTTCTAAAGAATTCGAAGTTATTTATGAACAATTAAAGTATGAATTTTCTAAATATTATGCTGTGCTGACCACAGAAAATAGCCTCAACGGAGGACAGTCTGAAGTATTTTAATTAAAGTGATTCTGAGAAACAGAGGATCATTCAAAGTAGTACAAGAAGCATAATGATATTGCAGAATACAAAAGAATCTCACGGAGACCAAAGGAAAGGAACCAAAGCAGCTGACCTCAAGAGAACAGAGACCAGGGGCTGAGAGCTGAAAGTATTCTCTATCTCTCGCTCTCTCTCTCTCAACCTGTGTACCTCTCCTTTCCAGTGTATCTTTGCCCATCACTTTCACATGGGTGTTATGGCTGCATCAGTTCTAACTCTACAGGACCTACAGGACCTCTCTGGTTCTCATCTGATTGGCTGTAGTTCTCAACACCAACCACCTTAGTCTTCAATTTCACGAACTCTAAAGTCACAACAAAGTGCTCTAATTGGCCCAACTAGTCTGTTCAACCAATTGCCCTTGAGTCAGCTGTGTACACCCTTCCAATCAGCTAAGACCAGAGAATACATTCACGTGGGAGTGAGGTCACATGGAACTTCTCACAGTGAGAAAAAGGATTGGAGAGAAAGAATGTAGATGAAAGAAACAACAGAAGAGCAAACCACCTGGTAAAAGGGATGTACCTACCTTCTCTATACTATCAACGTTCTACAGATTTGCTAAATCTATAAGGATGGGCCTTTTGATTATGAGAAAATAGGTAAGAAGTATACTGCCAACACAAAATGGTAACTTTCAGTGTCTCTCTTTTTTAATGGCTGTTTTCACGAAACAGACTAATGTACATTGGAAACTACAGCCATATATTTACCTGATGATTCCTTTTTGTTATACTGTAATACAAGAGTTCCATATTTTATGTTCTGTTTCAATCTTTATAACTTATTCTAAATAATGAATTGTATTTCTCTTTTGCTTAAAAGTTTGTTTAATCACTAAGTCCAGTGAAATTCTCAGTGGATCTAGAGATGACCCTGAGTTTATCCAGCATACATGTTCTTGAAACTTGTCTAAACCAAATCATATTTTCTTGATGAATTGTATAGCATTATGATTTATCTTTACCATAATTTCTTAAAATTCTTTGACTATAGCTTTAAATGTTTGAGAGATCTTTTTCTCATCTTTTTTCATTCATTCAACAAACATTTATTGAATGCCTACATGCTAGTTTCCATATGCCATCACGTAATTAATAACATATAAACAATATATGATTATTTCTTAGAAGCTCCAAAAGTAAAAGATTTCTTTTACTATATTCTTATAAAAATGATTTAATACAAATACTCATTTATTCACTCAATTTTTTGTTAAATGTGGATTTTCATATATCGTACAATGGAGTTAGAAATAATATAAATCTGTCTCCAATTTCATGGATGAAAAAACTGAAGCATTGAAAAGCTAATTTGTTCAAGGACACACAGCTAAGTTAGTAGAAAAGACAAACCAGGAATGACTCAGGACTTGTTTCTCTTAGCAGGAGTGTTTCCATGAGCCCTCCCTCTCCCTAGTCAGATTTCCTTAAATTACAGCACACCAGTAACTGTCCTAGATGCTGCAACTATGGTTGCCATTTTTGTCACCAAGGAATTTACTTAAAAAAACAGTTTCCCTTTGGAATTACTTTGGTTTAAACAATTAACCTCAAATCTGGAGTTTTAACCTCGGTGTTTCATGCCTGATATACTGTTATAATTAGGGATTTCTATTAAATCTTTGGTTGGAAAACCTCTGTGATACTGAGAACCCTGAACTAAGGAATATCGCTCAGCTCACCAAATCCAAGATTATTTTCAGTAAATAACTTCCCACAATCACAGCCATTCCAGTCTCACATTTCCTGGAAGAAGTTAAAATTAGCCAATCTGGATATTAAAATGTAATCTCTGTAAACTAGCCAAATTAATCCCATTTAATTAAATGAATAATTGTTTATTACTAAACCACTAAAAAAATTGGCAAGCAATACAATCAAAACCAAGTCTTAAATTCCAAAAGAAATCAAACATTGAAAAGCAAGCACTAATAGCTAGCATTTCAAATCTTTGAACTAAAAGATATCAAATCATAAGCAGCAACAATGGAATCTTACAAGTTATAAATGCAGCTCTGATTACTGCAGTTAATTTTCTTTTGATTTCAAATAACAGAAACCCATTCTGATTAGCTTAAAAATAAGAGACACCCAGAAGTATGCCAGCTGTGCTCAGATAGGTTGGTGGGTTTGGCAGTGTGGGTTTTCTGAGAACTGAGCCAGGCTGCAGCCAACGTGTCCTGAGAATACAGCACCCCACTGCCCAGCAAGCTGCTGCAGGTACAGAACCTGATCAAGCAGTGCCACCCGCCTCTGCCTCGAGGGGGTTCTACAGCAGTAGAGTCACTGCAAATCCAGTGTGAAGATTTTCAAATTTCAACCAAATAAACCCACCAGGGGAGCTGGTGATGTTTATGGCACAATTTGGTCACTGCACCCGGAGATCTAAGTGATTTTCCTAAGTGCTGAGAGCTCTGCTCCGCCACAATCACACTGTCTTAGATCCAGATTTTCAAACGACATTTTGCAAAGCTGGGAAATAAGAATGTCATCAATCCATCACGTTTGTTAGAGTTCTTCTTTGAACTTCTGCGTTGCCATGATAAGCATCTGGCAAAAGACTTTCTACACTCAGTGCGTGACTGATGTCAAGAATATAAACGTAAGACACAAAAATAATGTGAATATAGTATGGCAGAATTTCATGCACACCATATTAAGAGATAGCAATGCAACTGCAGCCAGAGTGTCTTTGGGTATAATGATTGAACTCAACAGAAGAAACTTTGGAATAATGCCAAAACTGTCAGTGTTATCCCAACTACATGTTTCTCTCAAGTCACCAAGCTATTAGTTGCTGCTTTGAAATCCCTCCCAGACAAACAAGAGAAGCAGGACAGTAGCTCACAATCTGAAGGTGAAGGACCTTGTAGTGCAGTGTGGCACAGGGAAGAGAAGCCCCAAATACCACACAAGGTTGCAACAGGCTATGAGAGTACTCAAGAAACAAAAGAAGAACAATAACAGATGTTTGACTTTCCAGCCATTCTCTTGGTTAATGATCCCCAAGGTTCTGTAGAAAAATTACTAAAGCACCTAGAGTGTGCTGAGGAGAGGTTTGAAGGGAGGACGATGCTTAGGGACCTTATCTCCAGATCGGTGGGATTTCATGGGCTTTCTCTCTTTGACTTTGATTCCTTTGAGCGGAGGTTTCTGCAGGCCCTTCAAAGAGAAGTGATCAAGATCCTTCTGTTTGCTGCACAAGCACATCATTGCTCAGGACTGAGGCCAACAATTTTATTATCAGTAAGAACTCAAGGGAAGTCATGACAGTAGGAATCAATGCTATGAAAGAGATAACAGCTGATGTCCTCTAGCTATGACTGAGAACCCTCCAAGATCGGGCCCGGTGTAAAACACACGAAGATAAGAACATGATGAGGTCTGCTAGAACTTTCATTCAGCTCTTCCAAGCACCAAATCCTCAGATGTTGCAGAAGAAATTCTGGGGTAAGCCTACAGAGGTTTCGGTAGAAGCAAGAGTGCAAGAATATGGAGAATTAGATGCTAAAGATTGCATCTCAGGAGCAGACATTCTGGAGTTAGGAAAGAGAAAGAGAATGATGAAGATGGGTGAGAAAGTACCAGTCTCAGGGAAGGGGAGGATGCCAGTGGTGAATGGGCTTACATGTACCGCTCTTCCATGAAGAACAGCAAGACCTGTCTGAGAATCTGACCAGCATGCACACAGCGGAGTGGAAAGCCAAAACTGCCACCCTTAGCACTAGTCAGGTTCTAACCCAAGAAGGCTTCCAGAAAATCTGCCTGGATTTTCCTCTAACTGAGGAATGCAGTGCTGCCCCAGGAAAGCCCCGAAATGAAATATATTGAAATAGCACTAGTGGGCGCAGAGACAAGTTACTTTCATTTCAGGACACTGAACACTTTCATAAAAGCCTACTTCTGACGAGGAGACAAGATTAGCAACAGCAATGGCTGGAAAGACAGACCAAAAACAATAGTTAGGAAGAAAACCCAAATGAATCAATTTTCCAGTTCCACAAATACAGAAAAGAGAAGGAGAGGAACTTTGTGATGATGCATTGTAGCCAGAATGTCCAGTCAGAAACTAGGTGTTCCTTCAGAGCAAAACAACTGACGCTACGAGATGCACTTTTGGAATAAAGAAAAACAGAATGAAGTTCCTTCCAAGCAAGTTTTCCATTCTAAAGATAATGTTAAATTTGTGTTTTTGCCCTGAAAACCGGTAAATTCAAAAATATTGGGAAAACACAATGGTTATTTTGGAGGATGTGTGTAGCGTGCATCCAGTGTTAGTATGGTTCCCAGAGTCAGATCTGTACAAAAAGGTATAATCAGAGATGTGAGACTTCCTCCTCATCCCTTCTACCTCAGTCCCATCCCCCACCTCTTTCCAACCCCCACTATGTAGGTAACCAGTCTCTTTAGTTTCAGGTTTAGCCTTCCTTTACTTCTTTTGCGTAAATGAGAAAACACCTGTATATTTTCTTCGGTCCCTTTCATACTTAGATGAAGGGTAGCATACAATAGGTACTCTTTTGCACTTTACTTTTATCACTTAACAGTGTGCCCTGGAAGTTGCTCCATATCAATTCATAGATATCTTCCTCACTCGTTTTTACAGCTGCCTACTACTGTATAGTAAATCATGTGGATGTACGGTGGTTATTCAACCATTCACCCATATATAGAGATATTTAAGTTGTTCTCAATATTTTGCAATTATAAATATTGCCACAAAGAATAACATTTTTGTATGTATTTTGTTTTGTTGGAGTTGTAT